TCTTTAGTAAATTTGTCGTTTTCTCTAGAAAAGCTCTCTTTTAATGCAAAAATCATTCGGATTAAACTTTTAAAAAATAATTTAGGAATTACATCTTTCCAAGATTGACAGTTTTCGGGAATTACAAGTTCCTTACAGGATTCCTTGTACATCTGATTAGACTCGTCGCCATCTACGTACATTAATTTTTCACTAGTAAGATTAGTATTTTGCCCGTACAAATCACTTCCACGAACTACTAGGTGCCCTTTCGTGCCACATATTAAAATTTCTTGAATAAATTTACCCGGAAAGTTACTATTTAGATTAACCGTAGCAAAGGCATTTCGATCGAGTTCCATCTGAAACGTGCAAAAGTCGTCGCTGGTTATATTCTTACCAGGTACGTTCTGTGCAAATTCCACATTTTTCAAATACGTGTGCATTATGCCGTGAACTTTGTAAGCTTTTTTGCCAGTCAGATAAGCCAGAATATCTATAATATGACTACCAATTTTAGTTAAAAGGCCTCCTCCCATAGTTCTTTCACACATCCAGTCGTATCGATCGTGGAATAATCTATGACAGTATATTCTGACTTCACAAATTGTCACTTCACCTATAAAATCATCGTGTATTGCTTTTCTCATTTGAATAAAAGCTGGCAAGTACCTTAGAGTATAGAAAAGGACAGAAACGAGTGACGGATAGTATTGAGAAGCTTCTATCATTTTGGTCACGTGGTATGAGTTTAAACTTAGTGGAATATCACAGACAACGTGTTTACCGATACCCAGTGCTTGTATCGCAACTTGAGAATGCAAATGCGGTGGACACGCAATGAAAATCAATTTTATATCTTTACAAAGTAAAATATCTTCTAATTTATCCGAAAAATGAGGTATATTAAAACTTTTAGCATATTCCTCTGCCACTGGTTCAGTCTGGCTCCAAATTCCATTTACTGGAAATCCTTGATTCTGTAACACTGGAATTAACAATTTAACAAAAGAATTTGTGCCTATAATTCCAATTCCGGGAAGCATATTTAGGATCGAACTTAATCAATTTTGATAAGAGAAACAATCACACCAACAAAATACACGCTTCACCAAAATAACATACGGAACAGGAAATACAGCGCCTCACATCGGCCTAAATTGGAACTAAGCGAAACTCATTAAACATTGCTAAATTAAATTTGATGCAATTTAATAATTTTAAAAAATATGAACGAATTAACGTGTAATATACATCGGTTATTTACTTACAGATAAAGTCGAAATAAATGTATTTCGAGAAATCGTAATTAAAGTATTTAGCAGTCCAAATGCTATGACTAAATGTCAGAGGAAGTAAAGGCGTTAAAAGAATTGGCTTCAGAAAATAGACAAGCATGCAAAAATCATCTAAGAATGTCTTTAGAGTAATTTGATGATCTACTCGGTATGATTAGAAATAAGATACAGAAAATATCAGCATATTTTAGAGAACCAATGTCAGCAAAAATAAACTATAAATCACACTATGTTATTTAATCGGTGCAAGTTGTGATTACCAGAGCCCTTTCGGCCGAAGGACCTGACCTAGCCTAACCTAACTGGAAGCTCAATCCTCGTAACAGCTGTTCGGGAAGAAAGGTCGGCCGAATGTCGCGTCCGGTGAAGAAACGTGTAACGTCCGGGTGGTCACAATCGGAAGTCGAATCCGTTGTCTTCGACCGGGTGAAAGGTGTCTAATCCGGTAAGAATGTCGCATCCGAGTGCAGAAGGGGAAAATCGAAGAAGATCACGGCCTAGGTCAAGGAACAGCAGCCGTCCGCAGTAACAAAACCATAGACATTCCCTCTACTTCGGCGGCTTTCTCCTCCAATTCCTCCCTTTCCGATTTTCGGAAGGCAGTTCTGCCTTCCGAAAATCGGAATCGAGTTCTGCCTGTTCGTCCGCCACGAGGCGGACGAACAGGCAGAACTCGACAAAACAGGATTCCGATATCTTCCACAACAAGGTTTGTACAAGGAATGTGGCAGGCCGATCCCCGAAGACCTTGGCCAAGTGCAATGGACCCAGATTGTAGCGTGGCAATGTCCGATACCGAGAGAGTGCCACGCCCAGAGCCGTAACTAGGGTATGGCCAATGTGGCCCCCGCCGTAGGCGCCGATGTAAAAATAATTTTGCCGTTTTTGCGGGTAATGTTTAAAATTTAGAATAATAGAAAATATTATCTCAAAGCATTTTAAACTTGTTTATAATTTAATGTAAATATAAATAAGTCATAGTTAAATAATTCAAAATTTCTTCCAAAAATAACATTTGTTATTTATAAATTGAAAGTTATAAAGCGATCTAATTAGCATGATTTAGAAGAGTAATTCCGTCCTTTAAATTTTTATCTATATCTATATCTATATATATATAAATGGACATGTATGTCCCTATATTTCACTTTTTCGCCAAAACTACACATTGCACGTGAATGGTGTTTGTATGTGGTGGTAGCCCCAAGTCTCTATTCATGCATAGGGGTGGTTGCGTCTCGATAGCTATAAGGGTGCGGGAGATATGAGGCTAAAAGTAGTTGAAAGTGGCTTTCTATTTCGAATGTTTTGTTCGAATTTAATTCGAACAATATTCGAATTTAATTCGAACAATATTCGAATTTGAATTCGAACATAAAATTTGAATATTGGTTCGATTATAGAACGATCGTAAAAGTTCCAGAAACGTTGAAAATATTTCGTTTGACTGGACGTGAACAGGAGACGTTCAGAAATAGAATCGGGACCAAAAAGTGTTAATATAAAGCGGCATGCAAGATTTACAGGCGGTTTTTTGCGCTTTTGCGGGAAATCGAACATATTTTTATGCTCATGTAAAAATTCTTTGGAAACGTCTGGAAACGGTAGACCTAATTCTTGCATTTTGTGAAAACGGGTAAGATTGGCTATAATCAAAGACTAAACTACAAGGATAGCCAGATCCCGTATATTTGTTAGCGTGACCTTGGCTCTATGTGACGTCACAGCAAGCCCTCTACTTCAACATGACCGATCTTTCAAATAACAAAATACGATAAAATATTAAATCATTTCTTAATTAATTATTAAATTACTACTAAATGTAAACTACTGTAGAATTTTCGGATTTAATAAGTGTACTGTACGTCAATAAATTTACAAGTCTTTTGTCTAATATTTATTTAACAAATTAATGAGCTATATTTTTTATTATGTGATTATCTTACTTAACTTTTTAATTTTTTTTCGACAATCACCATTTTCAGAAGGCATTCTTTTCAATATTTTATAGTTTTCTTGTTTAAGATTTCTATAATTAATTCTTATTATAGTTCTTAATTTACAAAAATCTTTTATTAAAGTAAAAGGTAAAACTGTTTCCACTGACTAATTCTGTACAACTCCGGGGCCTTTTTTATACGATTCATCGTGATATATTTCGAAATATTTATTCCATTCTATAATTTTTGCTAGCCATTCATCAGTAGGTTTAATAAGCCCTCCATAAGATAAATGTTGCACCCATGACGGAATGCTATAGTTGTAATGATTTTTAATTTTGTTAGTGGAATTAATTAAGTTTGGGTATTTTTCTTTATATTTATAGGCAAAATATCCTGCTATATACTCGAGAGCATCGTAGGAAGTTTCTTCAGAGATTGTGTTAAAGTCTAGATTGCATGTAGAGTTTCCTGAAGATTTATTTGAAGAAAAAGTAGTTTTACATTCAGTATATTGGTCTGTATTTTCACTTGATACTTCTACATGTGCTTTCTCTAAAACTTTGGGTATAATATATTCCTCTTGTCTTCGATCTGTAGTATTTACTTTTGACTCTAAAATACCAGGATTCTTACCTAAAATAATCAATCTAATCCTATATATAGCATTTAATGGGCTTGGATGTTCATTAGGATCCCGGCTTCTAATTTTAAAAAAAAAAGTTTTCCAGACAATCTTGATTTAAATTGTGAGTGCAGATGTATTTTATATCAAAAGTCGATTTCATATCTTGAAAAAGATCAATTAGCGATTTCATTGAGATTATCATTCCTTTCTGGAAAATTTGGAGGGCATTTTTTCCACTTGCTCTCATTGTTGAGATTATTTTTATCATTTTATTTAAATGTTCTTCTTGTAATTCCAAGTCTACACCATATCCATTTTTGCTTGGAACAGAACCTTTTGGTGCATAGCTATTAAAAATGTCGAACCACATATTTATATCTCTAATATACGTTTCATTGATAATAATAATTGATTCATAATAAACGTTTCATTGATATTCACATTCAATTCTTTCCATAAACTTATGTTACTGCAACTACAGTCACTGACGCAAGCTACTACATTATACGATAGTAAATAAAGTTCTGCTATTAATTTTAAAAGTATTTCTCTTGTCATTTTTTGATCAAACCCGATGTAAACAGGTTGCTTCCAATTTGAAAAAAGAAGGTTATTATTGCAACCATACACAGCACACCTAGTACTCAGCATTTTGTTCTTCCCCTAACATAAAAATATAGCTTTAAATATTTAATGACTTATATTTAAATCATCTTACCTTATAAAAAACTTTGTCAAATAAAACAATTATAGAAATATTAAAATAAATCACTTGGTTAATCACAAAATTGGACGAATATTAAAAGCGAATACTAAACACGTGCACACCCTGCTCTATGTAAACAGAGAGGTCAGGACTCGTGCTGACGTCACTAACTTGTCATTCCTGGCTAACATTGTAGAATAGGGATCTGGCTATCCTTGATAGTATATAGTCTTTGGGCTATAATTTAATTATCTTAATCTTCACTATCGTTACTTTTTGCCCACAAATAAAAACCCAGTGCAGCTAGTATATTAATAATTTTGTATATTAAAAAATAATGTATAAAATATATATGAAGTAATCAATACAGAATTTTATTTTTCATATAAAATTTTAGTAAAAATTTAAAAGTATTTTCTGTTTGGCAACACTTTTTTGTATCACGTGTATAACAGCTGATTCGCGCTAAATGGATATACGGTATATCTAAGCGTGGTTTATATTTTACATATGGTATTTTAAAATTTATTTTTTCGTTGTTAATATTATACAATGGATGTTGAATGTCCAGTCTGCTCTCTCAAGTTTAAAAACGACGTCATTAACTCTCATTTAGATAAATGTCTAGAGAAAACGGAATCTTCACACAACGCTTCGAAACGATCGAGCGGAGAAACTTCCAACTTCTTTGAAGCAAAAAAGATTAAGTCGAATTCAGTTGATAATTTACCAAAATCTGTTTCGGAAAATGGAAATTTATGTCAGAAATCATTTTTAGATTTTGAAAAGAAACCGAAAAATTTTTTACCTAGTCCTAAAGTAAGTTAAACGTGGAAAGAAATATATAGATGTGTATAGATTAAAATGGCATTTATATTTTATACTTCTATATGGTATTTCAAAATATACACTGAAATCATCCCAAATTCAAACATTTTCAATAGGAAACCTTCAATATTTAGTCAGGCAAGCAATTGAAAAAATGTATGCCAGAATCTCAACAGGATTCTTTTTAACATATCAGTAATCAAGAGTATGAACATCAATAGTGAACAATTTGAAAACTTGAAATGATAACTATGTATATAATAAATACAACCTGTCTGATAATTACTTCAAATATCAACTGGATTCCTTTATCAGACTATTAAGGCTAAATTACTAACAACGAATGAACTACTTGAGAAAGGAATTTGGATGTTTGATATTTGAAATGATATTGTATATCTCAGAGATTTATTGAATGTGACAATTTCTCCAAAATTACAATTATAAATATACAATATTCAAATTATTTAACTTGTTTTGCTATGAAATAAAACAAAAATGTATGATTTTCTGGTATAACCTATACTTTTTGAGACATATAGTCTATAGTACAAATACAGATTATATAGAATGAATCTGAAAAGTTATTTTTTGGACTAAAAATAAATTCTAAATTCTATTTAATTAATAATATATGCAAAAGTGGATTTGACAGGCTCTTAAGAGGAGTTTTGCTGCAGTGATATTTTTCATAACAATGTATTTCAGGATTTGATGATAGTGTTTAGTAAATGCAGAAAATTGAAATAAAATCAAAAATTAGAACAAAATTTCCATTTTTGGAGCTGACTCCAAAAGTCCAGGATAAATAGTCACCTTAGTATTGATCAAATCAAAATATATTTATTGAAAATTTAATAAAATTTTAAATATATATGGAAATATTAAGTTTCAGGAAAAAAATATATAAATGCTTCAACGTGCAAAGAGTCATTACTTTGATTAAAAGTTTTTCAAGACAAAATTTGTCTCATCTTAAGATCCTTAAACTTAAAAATAATATATTCAACTGGAGAACAAAATGAAACCAAACTATTACCAGAAATAAATTAAATTATAGTAGTAGTAGATTTAATAGTAGTGGTGAAGTAGCTCAATTTAAATCTGGTAATTATTTGGTTTCATTTAATTTATTCCTATGGAGTTGCCTGTTACAAAGATAAATTTTGAGTATTTAATCTGTTAAACACAATGTAGATCCTTTAAATAAATTCTAACAAAAAAAAGAATATGTTAAAATATTTCAGGATGACTTTTTTTTAATTTTAAAACAAGACATTTCCCTAAAAACAAAATAAATGTTTATTTAGATCTCAAGTTTAAGGGACTCAAAATAGAGATAATTATAAATATAGTGGTCTCATAATTAAAGTGATTCTAAAATTAGTTGGTGCTTAAGATCTCAGATATGTTAATCCACATAGTGTTTTCCTGATACAGTTTTATTCATTCCCATGAATAGCATTTAGATGTGTAAACTAAACTAACTCTGTAGATCTAAAAAAGAGAAACATGTATATAATAACACACATAACCTGATGTATTTGTAATATCTGCTGAATTTTTATTGGGTTAATTTGGCTAGATGTACTCTAGCCAAATTGCTTTGTTTATAATTATTAATTAGTCTTAATATAGTCTAATAAAAAATACATATCGCAGATGTTTTCATTCCATTAAGATGGTTTTCTTTAAATAAATAAATATTCAACTGAATAAGAATAAAGCAAACTGTCTATTGGCATTAAAGTTATTTATTTGCAGAATATTTAATTAAAAATGAGTACTTTTGACATTTCAAAATGTCATTGTTAGGTTGAGTTATATACCATGTGAATTACAATTTTAAAAAATATATTAATTTTAGTATACTTTTTTAAAAATCATAATTCGAATGTATATGTTCATCCTGAAGATGACATTTTGAAGTGTTGAAAATATTTGTTTTTAATTAAATATTCTGCAAATAAACAATTTTAATGCCAATAGACAGTTTGCTTTATTCTTATTCTATATGTTGTGTCATAAAGAATATATTTATGTTTAACTGAAGTATATTATAACATTATATAACATTATATTTATTTATGGGATCAGATTTTGATTAGGTAAATATATTTTATTGATTTTGAATAGTAACTTTATTTCTCTTATTCATTATTTATATGTTGTCTTTTATATTGTTATTAAAATAGTTTTATAGTAATCCTGTTGTATTTTAGACTTCACATAGTATTGATGATAAAACACCTTCAAAACTTTTTGCACCACTTGCTGATCAAATGAGACCAAATTCATTAAATGAATATAGTGGACAGGAACATGTTCTTGGTGAAGAATGTATATTAAGAAAATTAATTGAAAAAAATGAAATTCCTTCAATGATATTTTGGGGTCCACCAGGCTGTGGTAAAGTATGTTACTTTTTTCTAGTTTAAAAATACATTCTATTTAATAGAAGCAAAATGTTTAAGAATGTAATTGTACAATTTAAATATTAGTTTTGGTGTTTAAATAATTTATTTATAAACACTTATGTTTAATAAAATTTTATTATATTTTTAAAATACATTGGCAATGCCAAAAGACAAAGATATCCTCCTCCTGAAATAAAAAAATATAACAGTCCTTAATAAAAAAGGAACAAATATAAAAAAAACTAAATACAATGTTAATAGAAAGTTATCAAATTTGTTTTTTTTTTATTACAAATGGTTTTGAATTTATTTAAAAACACTATAAACAGTCTTATAAGATGAACAGAATCAACAATTCTACAGAAGAAGCAATGTTGAAAAAAGTTTAATCCCTATAATTGTTAGATACATGATTTGTTTCAGGTATAAAAGAATGGTATTCTAAGTGTGAGAAAGAAAGAAGGAATTAAACTAAAAATAAAAATCCGTTCAATTATCCAGCATAATTCTTTAATAACATAAAAATGTTTTCAAACGCATTAAGCATTCATCATCAGTTATTTATATATAAATAACTTTTATATTAAATAACTGATGATGAGCGCTTAATGCGTTTGAAAACGTTTTTATGTTATTAAAGAATTATGCTGGATAGTTGAATGGTTTTTTATTTTTAAGTTGATTTCTCCAGTAAGCAAGTATACAATTATTTATCGGAATTAAACTATTATACAAATAATATTTAAGGAAAAAAGGTGATTAAAATATAAAAATTTTTATTAAGGTTGGGTAAACTTAATATATTTATGATCGTTTCAGGAGAGGTTGTGTATGGTAAGTTAGTTTATTAAACAATATAAAAGTTTTTGATGTATTGGTTCATAATCTATTACACTCAAGTCCACTTAACAGAGCATTGGATAAGACAACAGTCCACTTAAGATAGTTTTCTCTCATATTTTACATTTGTAAGTCTCCTATTAATAGAACACTGGGTAGTAGAGCAAATCTGTTTAAGTTAGGGGTAGTCAACCTTTTTATACCTACTGCCCACTTTTATATCTTTGTTGGTAGTAAAATTTTATAACCACCCACTGGTTCCATAGTAACTTAATTTAATGCAACTGCAAAGTAATTAAATCTGGCAATGCTGGCCCCCACCATGAAACGAACTCAACACTATTACGAGGGTGGGGCATAATAGTGATGGCCACTTTATGCCCCACCCTCGTCATGTGCACTAAAGTGCAGTACAATCTGCTCTGTCAGTGGGTCATAGATAGACGGTGATAACAGAAAGTAGTTTCAGCATTGGACAAAATCCGTATCGCCTACCATGAAAGCTTAAATCACCCACTAGTGGGTGGTCCCTATTATCATGTCCATATTATTTTTAGACCAATGATCTACAACAGGAAGCACTATTCTAGGGAAGATTTATAAGGATCAATCTTACAACACATCTATGCCCAGGGCATATGACAATAAGTGCTCTATACACTGGTATATGTTTTGTGGGAATTTGGTGAAACCTTCTATTGATCAGGTTTCTAATACATGAACAAATATTTCTTACAGAATCATAATAAACAAGTTTTATTGGACACACATATAAGAAATAATGATATTTGTTTTATAAATGCAATGTAGCGTAATAATGATCACTTGGCACTATTCATTCTTTTATTTCAACAAATATTGAAATAAAAGAATGAATAGTGACAAGTGATCGTTATTACACTACATTGCATTTATAAAACAAACTAGCAGACTCCGCCACGCATTGTTGTGGCTCAAAATGTATCTATTATAAATGTATGACACTTTCCCCGGGGGGGGGGAATTTTTCGAAAAATCCCTTCTTAGTGTACATTCTCTTGACGTACCCTATTAAAACGCAATCAAAAACGCAAAATAACTGCATCTAAAATAGTATAAATAGAAGCAGAGTTCTTTACTGTAAGCCTTAATCCTGTCCATCTCCCCCAGTGAGGGAAATTTCGACACGTATATTATATAAAAACATGTGCGCATTCGAATGCAGCATTGTGTCAGAATTTCAAAGGAATCAGTAGGAACAAACGAACATTACATTTTTATTTATATTGATAGATAGAAGATGATCTGCTTTAGTTCATCCTCACAGAAAAGCAAACTTAGGTCATCGTACTCGCGGAATTAGCACCATCTGTTGGAGATAAAAGCCTTAATCCTAGATGATATGTTTTAATTTATATGAATGTTTATGGAATAATATACAGCCTATGTCCACCCTGAAGTTCCACTCTAAATATTGGTGAAAGAATTTTTGAAATCGGATGAGTAGTTTTGGAGATTACCCGCTACATCCAAACTTACAAACATTACCTCTTTATAATATTAGTATAGATATAAAGATACGACATGGTTTCAAAACATGGAAAAAGTAATTATATATTTTAAAAGATATCATAAAAGAAATATGAACAAATAACATAGATCGTATGTATGTCCTCATCTTGATTGGACAAGCAAGAAGTGATTAGCAACCAGGAAGTCACTTGATCTTATTTTAAGTTGGTACTGTACTTATTTCTTTTTATACTATAGTATATGTTCCAATAGAGATAATATAGAAATTTTGGACCAACGATATTCGTATCTTTTTCAGTTAGTCACCTACTGTATTTATGGGAAGAAGTGAAAGTAATATGACTAGTAAATATAGAGGATATCCCATAAATTAGCAATTTAGTTAAAGAAATTTATTTATTATAAAAATTACATAAACTAGTTCTACTGTTTAAAATACAGACCATTGTTATCTATGAATCCTTCTTTCATCCAATTCTTGTAATCCTTCTGATACCATTCTTTATTTTTTGATGTGAAACATTCTTGCACTGCAATCTCAACTTGCTCCAGTTTTTGGAAGCATTGTCTATATAAAAAGTGTTCTGTTGACCAGAAAAGATAATAATTTGATGATGCAAGATCAGGACTTCAGGCAGGTGTGGTAAAAATTCATTTGCATCCAGTTCTTAACTTTTGTCTTTTGTTGTTTAAGCTATGTATGGATAATATGTTGATTTGGAATTATTTGACATTGAATTTTTTTCATTATATATATTATGTTTTACAAGGTGCATCTGAAAAGTTTGATGAATGGTCCCATAGTTGAATAACCATGCTGGCTAGGATGCTGCACTCATGCAGACATAGTGAGAGACTTGCCAACTAGTGGCCCCTAGCGTCGAAATCATGACAGTTAAACAGAAGTGTGTGCAACAAACAATGCAACACAGTCAGTGTGAGAAGGTGTGTCACTGCGAAATGGAGCAACACATGAACATCAAGTTTTGTTTCAAATTAGGCAAAACGGTAACGGAGACACATGAAATGTTAGTGAAAGTGTATGGCGTGGAAGCAGTGAGTAAAAAGTGTGTTTTTGAATGGTTTAAACACTTCAGAGACAAAGGAAGATGTTGATGATGAGCCTCATTCTGGTCGACATCAACAAGCACAACTCCAGACAACATCGAATGAGTGCGATGGATGATTGCAGATGATTGGCACCTGTCTTTGAGAATGATAGCAGAAGATTTGAAGATAAGCAAGGACAGTGTGAGCCCTTTGATGTTGTCTGGAGTTGTGCTTGTTGACGATCGACCAGAATGAGGCTCATCATCAACATCTTCCTTTGTCTCTGAAGCGTTTAAATCATTCAAAAACACACTTTTTACTCACTGCTTCCATGCTATACACTTTCACTAACATTTCATGTGTCTCCATTACTGTTTTGCCTAATTTGAAGCAAAACTTGATGTTCACGCGTGCTCCATTTCGCAGTGACATTCCTTCTCACACTGACTGTGTTGCATTGTTTGTTGCGCACATTCCTGTTTAACTGTCATGATTTCGACGCTAGGCCACTAGTTGGCAAGTCTCTCACTACGTCTGCATGAGCACAGCATCCTAACCAGCACAGTTATTCAACTATGGGACCATTCACCAAACTTTTCAGACACACCTTGTATGTGTAATGTACTATATTTGATTATTTAATCTTAAATTTTATGAACTACACATTCTTTCATATAGATGTTTAAAATTATTTGTTTATATATTGAATAAAAATGAATAAAGTTCAGTATACTAATTAATGCTATCTTTATAGACAACTTTGGCCCATATAATTGCAAAAAGAAGTCAAGAATATAGTAAAATTAGATTTGTCAAATTATCTGCTGCTTCTTCAGGTGTTAAAGATGTGAAAGATGCTATTGAAGCTGCAAAATCAGCTCAAAGAATGTTTAAGAAGAAGACAATACTCTTCATTGATGAAATTCATCGCTTTAATAAACTTCAACAGGTATAAACTTTATTGTAATTTATAATTTAATGTTTTAGATTAAAGTTTTAGTTTTGTTTTATAGAAAAACATCAAAATTGTTGCTATTTTATCAAATATTTATGGTTTGGATAGTTTCTAAAAGAACTAGGAATTCAGATCAAATTACTGATTTGATTTTGGAATTAGACTGAATTAGACTGAATTGTGAGTTTGAAATCATATTTCACTCTTGTCCAATTTATGAATATGGTCATTGCTGTTTAAGTTTATTATTGATATTGAAATCTGTTGAACTGTAATTATTTCATTTGACAAGTGTAAGAAAGTAGATGAAGATTTATAAGCTATATAAGTTAATACACTATATCCAATATAATTTAAAATTACAAGTATTTTAGAAAGTTAAAAAGTTTAATATTTTGTTAATTTTGAATAAATGAGTAGGTTTATTATCATTCAATAAAAATCATAAACTAAGCACAATAACTGTTTATTTGTAACAATTTTATATTTATATCAATAAAATAATGAAATTATTTCAATAACAGACTAAATGGTACAAAACAATTATAAGTGAAGTTTGTATTATTTTTCAAGCAATCACTTTTATTGAGAAAGACTTCAGTGTGTGTAAGATAATGAAAATACAGTAGTTTCATGTTCAAAGTTTATGTTTCAGCAAATTACATCTTGATAAGGATATTGTTAATTAAAAAATACCCTGTAAGAGTGTATATTAGTTCCAGTTATAAAAATTTAATAAAAATATTATTTAACTATTTTCTTCCTTTCTCAAATAAACTGTAAAACAAATTCAGAACAGTTCTTAATATAGTTACTTACTTGTTTAAAATTTATTAAATTAATGTTTTACAAAAAATTCCATTTAATAAGGTATCTATATTTATTGGGTACTTTTAAAATTTGTTTAAAATAGATATCTGAAATAATGATAAATGTTTTAAGAATTAATTTATATATTTCTGTATGCTTTATATAGCTAGATACATAGAATTAAAAAGAAAAAAATTGAAACTAATATCTCAAATACTATAGAATAGATAACAGAGACTTATCACACTGCTACTGATAACACCAAAATGACACTTCTACCATCAGAATGAAACTTTATTGCTGGTATGCATTTTGGTACATAAGACCCTCATCAGCTATACATAAAAAATATATATATATATATATATCTGTTGTAGAACAAATTTTCAGAGAAATTGACATTAATTACAATCTGCAATTTAAAACATACATGTTCAAGATTTATTTCCAACCACACTGCACAGTAATAGAGGATTACATTATAAACAGGCCTAAATTAATATAATTTAAGTCCCATTACAAACATTTTAATTATATATCACCAGTTTAAAAAATGTTCTCCTACAATATTTTAGGTAGGTGAGTGTTTTCTGTAATATTTTTGTTTATGACATAAGCAATATATCTTTGGGATGTCTTAAGTAATTTAAAAACACTCCAGACTTTTTTACACCAGCAATTTATTACTTCTCAGGCATCTGTAAAGATGCCCAAAGATGGGTATTAAATACATCCAAAAATATTAGAAAAAAAATAATAAATTGTTGTTTTAAAAAGGTGTGAAGTTTTTTTTTAACTTAAATGAAATGAAAATGAAAGTTAGAATATGAGTATCTTAAGTAATAAAATATATATTAAATTTAGATTATGTAGATAATATAATAAACTAACTTTATATTTTTATTTACAATAAAAATTGGTTTTAAGTTGTGAGAAGACCATCTGTATCAAGAAAATTGCTAAGTTCTGAGGGATTATATATTACTAGACAATATGTGGGCCATCTGTGGTTTTTGGTTTGCATTAGTGGCTTGTCCAACCTGGGGAAAATAGTTTCCTGACTTGGAGAGAAACTTCTTTGGATGTATGATCTTGTAATGGACAAATTTATGGTTCTTTGTTATCTGTCTTTATTTAAGATATAGTTTTTGTTTTAGTTGAATTATGTAGGACTACTACATAATAATAGTATACTATGGATTTGATATTTATGTTATGAAAAGATTATCAGAAGTTGAGAATCAAAAGATTTATCCAGTAAATTGTTTATTTTGTTATTTGAAGATATTTTTTAATTAAACACACTCAAATAACCTTGAATAAACAGCAAAAATTTAATAACGAAAATGTTTTTGGACATTTTTAACGACTTTCTTTCAGTAGAATACGTAATGGAATGCCACAATGGTAGTTTGGATAAAAATATACCAAAATACAAATTCAAATTTTAATTAAATTAATATTTAAAATTTTTCTCCTGTTATATACTGTTTACTATTTATAATAATTTCATATATTTTTAATAATAATTTATTGGTTTATTTTCTAGGACACTTTCTTACCATTTGTTGAAAATGGTACTATAGTATTACTTGGAGCTACAACAGAAAATCCATCATTTTCTTTGAATTCAGCTCTTCTTTCTCGTTGCCGAGTAGTAATTTTAGAAAAATTAGGAGTGCAACGCATTCAAGAAATATTACAGAGAGCAGCAGACAAAATAAGTTTCAAAATAATTGAAAACATCAATAGCTTGGATGAAATTGCCAAAGGGTAAATTATAAATGAAAAAATTTTAATTTTTTGAACTTTATGTAGTTTATTATCTTTTAATAAAATTGACTTTTATTTTTTAATAGAAAGTTTATAGAAAAATCTGCTATAAAAAATTTATCAGAACTTTGTGATGGTGATGCTCGTTTTGCATTAAACTGTTTAGAAATAGCTATACAGTCTTTAAATTCAGCTGAAGAAAATCAAACAGAAGATAGAGTTTGTATTCTAAAAACTGAACATATTACTAAGGGTTTAAAAAGACTACATTTATTATATGATCGCACAGGCATGTATATATTTGAATTCCATTTTATTTGGTGTTTTATATAATTTTATTTAGGATTGGTTAAAAGTTTACTTTTAATATTTTTAAAGATATTTTTCTGTTAATGGGAGGCCAGTAGTAACTGTAATCTGATGTGTGATTCTGTCTCTTTATTCACATAACATAAAGGTTGGAGGGTAATTAAAGACAATTGGATTAGAAAAAAAAACACTTTTTTAGTAAAACTTGATTAAAAATTTTAAAAAAATGGATTGGAAAAATCAATAATTGTTGATACATGTTAAATTTCTAAAATTATTTGTATATTTTTGCATTGATTTCATTGCAACATTTAATATCATGTCTATGTTTAAATTATAGTTAAAATATGAAATTTTCTAAAATTTGAAAAAAGAAATCTTAAATTCAGCTAAAATTAAAACAAAAAAATTAAATTCCTGTTGATTTCCTAAACTGCTTTATGTATTTATGTGGTGATTTTGTTGTGTCGTTTGACATCTTGTGGACATGTAAATTAAGTTTGTTGGGAGTATGAATGCAAAACAAACTTTGATACTTTAATTTTGTCTTTAATGTTAATGGTAGTTGTTCTTTTTGAACTTTCGTTTTCTCATTTTTGAGTGCAAATGGATTTCACAGTATGGCAATTACCAAAATACAAAGAAACTGCAATTCTTTGTTTCCAATATAAAGGTGTCTTACATGCTGAACAAATTTGTTCAAGAAGTCACAAAATGAATTTGTATTTTGTTAGTACTGAAGCACCAAAATGGAAATGCAACATTAGATTGTGTTGTGAAAAGAAAGGTTTGTGAAGTTGCAACTAGTTTGAAGGTTCCCATATTTCTTTTCTAACTGATCTTTAGTTTATTTATTTCTAGTGTCTAGAGTAGATTTCTGTGTAATTTTGTCAACTACAGTTAGGAATGAATCACTGTATGACTGTCAAGTAAAATAATTACATGCATGATGTATGTGCCAATTCATTAATTTCTCAACTGGTAGTAAAAATAGGTGGGTTCAAACAAAGTTGTAGATGTGGATGAAAGTCTCTTTATGTGCAGAAAGCAACATGTTGGATGTGTTCTTCCACAGCAGTGGGTATTTGGGATTTGCCATGAATTGAAAGAGTATTTCTTAGTGACCATTCCTGACCATTCAGCTAAAACTTTGATTACCGCAATAAGGAATAACATGAGAGAAAGGAGTATAATCTACTCTGACTGTTAGAAAGCATACAAACCTGAAAATTAGAAGACGCCAGATTCGAACACTTGCATGCTAACCATAAGTACAACTTTATAGACTCGGAAACTGGATGCTATATGCAAAATGTAGAAAGATTATGGGGAGTGCAAAATGTAGAAGTAAATGACAGCATGGCACTTCCCATCATCACTTAGATTTGTATCTAATTGAGTTCATGTGGCATTGATTACACTCAAAGACTGAAATGTTTTATGGCAATGATAAATGAAATTTGCAGGTTTATGTCTCCCATGTAATGTGGAAAAACCTTGTTGTAAGTTTATTTATTTGTTAATTTTTAATTTTTCCCATATATATAAATATAAATATTTTTTTTCAAAATGTAAATGACACATAATAAAATAGTAATTTCTCTACACATAGCAGTAAAAATCAACTGGCATCCCATTAACAGAAAAGTACTTTTTGAGTTTTCTTCTTTCTTGTTGAAAATTTTATGCTGAAATTATTCAGAGATTTTATAAAATAGATCAAGATGTTAGAATTTAAGTATAATCTATATCAGTTGAAAAAAATTGGCTCATTTAAATTTTAAAACATTTTACAATGTTTTAAAATTAGTTAGTTAGGGAAAATTATATATTTGAGAGAACTTCTAATAATCAAATAATGATAAAATTTGTTTTCAAAATACTGGTACTATATTCTAATTTTTTTACAAATCTCTCAGTTATGCTTTACATTCATGATTTGAGGGCAGTTGTTAATGAACTATTCTAAAACTTAAAATAAAAGTGCAAAAAATGATAAATATAATGTATACTAAGCTGTTTATCATTTATGAATTTTTATTTTAATAATTTTAATTGTGTAACAAAAAAATTAATTTTTTTTTCAGATTATTGATAATTTTATAAAATTCATAAAATTTATTAATGGTCAATTTAATAAATTTAAATTTTTGTAACATATTACACTATTGCCCATTACATGAATATTGTCAATTGTTTACTTACTCACTGATATCATATAAAAGACCATTTTTGCCAAACTGATGATGATGACTTTTTGAGGTTTAACTGTAATTACGAATACATAGGTACTGTACATATGTACATATACATACATACATACATACATACATACATACATACACATTATTAAACATATAAAAAATTTTTTAAATTGAAATATATTTTATTACATGCAGTTGTAAGTAATATTAAATGCTGATTATTTAGGTCACTGTTAGAGAACAGAATTTTGTCCAAAATTGTTTTTAACAGTATTTAATATTTTATGCAAATCTTGAAATTTTGTATATCTATAGTTTGCAAATTAATTGCAACTGTGAAATGATAAAATAAATTCTTATATTTGTTTGCGGTTTGGATATTCCTTAAGTGATTTAATGTAATCTATTCAGGAAAAAACTTAAAGACAAGTTTTTCAAAATATTTTGAATTTGCTTTTCATCAAGTACCATAAAAAATATTAATTCTTTTTTCCTCTAGGTCCTTACTTTTATTGATTTTTGATTTTATCCTTGTTTACTTTGGACTTTGTTTATTAATAGGACTTATTACACTGGTGTAGTTTCCATATAGTAAATAGAGGAGAACTTAATCAGAAAAATCAACACAAAATATCTTTATTTTTACCTGTACAGATCTGTTTTTGTGTTTCAGACTTAACCTGCACTGTTATTTTATCTTACTGGATCTGATGGTCCCATTATCATAAAAAAATATTTTATTATTAAGATTAATATCAGTTAGGGAACTTTAACAAAATGTTTCTGTTGACAAGAAATTACTTTTAATTAAAAAAATTTTTTTGTTTTTTAATTTTAGCTTGAAAATATTTGCTAATATCAGAATTTTTAATCAGTCAGAATTCTGAACATTTCAAAATTCAGCATGTCAAGTTTTTGAACCTGTTGATACTTTAGTCTATTAGTATTCTAACCATTTTGAGTTTTAATTGTCAATATTCTGACATGTCACAATTTTCATTTTTGAGATGTTGGTCAGCAGCTTCTAAATATACATGTACTGTACTACTAAATTTGTAGGCCACACTTCTGTTAAACATTATCTAGTTATTCTAGAAAACTTTGTTTTCTAGAATAACTAGATAATTTTAGAAGTTATTTTAGCAAAAAAATTGCATAATATAAACAGATAAATAGTGCATACAATTAAATATTTGAAGTGTGTATTGGAGAAAATTGCTAAAATGAACATTTTCTTGTTCAATATTTTTGTTTACATCCTTGATTACTGAGATCCTTGTAATGCTTACATCCTAAAATAATTTTCTTCTATAGTTAGAGAACTGCAAAGCTTATATACTTATAAACACATATATGTATTTAAATATGTGTTTATGATTATTATTTAATTCAATTAATATTTAACTATTTGCTAAGCTAATATATGCTTATCTAGAACATCTAGTTCTAGTTCGTTTGGTAGAACCAAGATAAACAGTTTTGAGACTAAATCAATTTCAATTTTAGAATTTTTTTTTAAATTTTAAGCAGACAAAATGTTTGTTTCAGATTTAATTTAATGAAAATCAGAACTAAACATGACATATGTTTAAAAAGTTTAAAAAACATATGAAGTTAAGGTCAAAGAAGTTTTGAAAATATTTATCTTCTGACTGGACTTCTTCATAAATAAATTGATTTTTTTCTTTTTAAAGTTTATTGAGTGCTTATATTGTAACAAATTGTATAAGGACATGTGTTTTAAGATAAAGTTTCTCCTACACTTTTTATTTTTGTTTTGCAGAAATGTTAATGCTTTTTATATAATTTCTATTTATATTGTCTTTTTTATTATGATGTTTCTAAACCATACATTTCCTTTTACTGGTTATTCTTTATTGTTTTATAATGAATCAAATATTGTCAGGTTTTCAAATAAATAGACTTGCTGTTTCCAAAAAAACTGACTTTATGATTTTAGCTGCATTTAATTCAATGACTATTATCTTCTCTTTTTTTACTTGCAATTTTGTTGCATTTATCATTTCTTTATTTATTTAGGTTTCATATAATTGCTTTTATATGCTATTTAAAATTTAAAACTTTGTACATATTTCAGAATTTTTTAAATTTTGTTTTTTATTTGTAGTTAGACAAATGTCAAACAGTTTCTACAATATAGTAACAGATTTTATAATTGTAAAGAATCTAATAAGCTTCATTTGTTACTGTTTTTAATGTCTTCCATAAAATTAATTTTTTGGAAGATTTTAATTTCAGAATTAGAATTTTGGTTTTGATATTAACTAAAACTTTCTGTCTTTGATTACTTTCACATTAAGTTTAATTCTTTTAAGTCTGATTTTCTGTAAGCATTTCTTACTTCTAACAAAATTACTTCTAACTTCTAACTATCATTTTATCAAGGTTATATGAAACATTTATAACACTTAATTAAAATTTTACAGTATATTAATATATAATAGCTTTTCAGCAATAAAACAAATAAATTATTATTAACCATGATTATTTTATTGCCAATTTATTTATTTATTTAAAATTTCTCAACAGAACACAAGTGAAAATATTTTTAGCATAACTGCAGTAAACTTCAAATTTAGACATTCTCTGAATTCCAATAATGATTGCAGAAATGTGATGCTTTATAATGAATTATTATTGAAGAACTCTCTAGCTTAAGTCCAGATAGTATGCAGACTTGAAAAATTCTGAACATATCTTGGACAATGACATAATGATATTATGGAATTACTTTGATTTATAAGTTATAATATCTATGATCAACAAGCAAAATAAATCAGATATAATATTAATGATATTTTGCAATGAAGGAGTAAGTCATAGGNTTTTTCATTAAATTAAAATATTCAGAACTTTATAATTTATTAAAATGTTTTTCAAAATGAACATTTCAGTTATTTAGAAATTATTAAGAGTATTATGTAAGTAACTTTTTAGTTGTGAAGTTGTTTGGTTCAGAAATTAAATATTTCTGAACTACAAGCTAAAATTCAATAATCTATAGTAGTATGCAAATCATATATGTGGTAAATTCATAGATAAGTTTAAAAATTTTATTTAAAAAAAAAGAGACCATTTCTGTTTCTTAACGACAACCAAAAATTGTTTATCTTAAAGTGAAAACAATTTGCCTGATTGTTGGAAGCCTATATATATAAAAATGGACGTGTGCGTCCCTATATTTCACTTTTCAGCCAAAACTACACATCACACATGAATGGTGTTTGTATGTGGTAGTAACCCCAAGTCTCCATTTGTGCACTATGGTGGTTGCGTCTCGATAGTTATAAGGGTGCGGGAGATATGGGGGCTTAAAGTGGTTGACTTCGATGATTTTCTATTTCGATTTTAAAAATATTCGAACCGTTTTAAATTCGAATTGGTTCGATTATAGAACGATTGTAAACATTCCAGAAAATTGATCAAATTGAAAATAGTTCGTTTGACTGGACGTAAAAATTCTCTAATTAGTCTGGAAATGGGGGACCTAATTCTTGCATTCTGTGCTATAAGGGTGCAGGAGATATGGGGTTGAAAGTGGTTGACTTCGAAGATGTGTAACAATGGAAGTGTCAACAATGGAAGTGTTAACAGTGGAAGTATTGAGTAACAAAGGAAGTGTTAATATAAAGTGGCATGCAAGATTTACAGGCAGTTTTTTGCGTTTTTGCGGGAAATCGAACATATTTTTAGACTCGTAAAAATTCTCTAATTAGTCTGGAAACGGGGGACCTAATTCTTGCATTCTGTGAAAACGGGTAAGATT